AAAACTTATTTTAATTATCAGGCATCACTCTCAGCCAATTAACAAATAAACCTGTTAGTGTAAAATAATAAATGTATTCCTTAAAAGTGTTTAAATGAATTACTATTACTGAAGTTAATTAATGGTTTTATAAATGTAAGTTATTCAGTGACTTAATTCTTTTAATTTTGTTCTGAAAAACTAAGGTCACCTTAAGATTATAGTTTTAAAATCATGAAAGTAAAAAATTATGAAATAAAAAGTATAAAAAAATCAGAAATTTATGAAAATGTGAAGATTAATGATGGAAAGTAGTGATATGTCTCCATTAATGGAACAGTATTGAGGCAATTTTTATGTAGTTCCCTAAGCATCCTTTGGATTCTCCTCTGACAAATTTATTGGAGGTTTGCAGGTTGGTTCCATTTCAAACAGTTGATTTCATTCCATCTGTTAAGCTAATTGAATTTGACTATTCATATCAATTTGGAAAAAAAAGTTGTTTGACTTTCCTATTCAGTTTGATTCAGTTCAAAGATTTGATCAAAGTGACTTTGAATTAAACCTCTGAATAAAAATGTGCTGAGCCTATTAATGTATTCCATAAAATTTTGTAACCTGAGAAGCTCTGTTATTCTGATTTGACATTTAACACTTATGCAGTTGTATATACAGAAAGAGGGAAGTTTTAAAGATAATTCTAGCATTGCTTGTGATATTTGATTCTAGTCAAGTTAAAAGCATACGCCCATGCACACACAGAGTACATGGAGAGAACAGGGTGAATTAAATCTTATCAAAGAGCAATTTTCCACAATGTGTTCAAAATTGAATAATAAAGTCTCATTTAAAGACACTATACAACCATTTGCAGTATTTGATAACCAGTAACGCACAATATTTCTGATACTCTTGTTTGTGTTAATATTTTTATAATCAGATTGCACTCTTTTTTCCAGGGACCCTGAAATCTGGCGTCAGGCTTGTTTGAAGGTTTGGGGCAGGACATGTAATAAAATGGTTCCTTACACCTCGTGGAGGGAAATGTTTGTGAAAAGACCTAGAGTTCGATTTGATGGTAAGAAACAGCAGTGTTGTAATGATAATCAGGAAAGACAGGGGTGGTATAATTGCAGCAGTAGTTCCTGATTGTAAATAGAAAGATTGGTTGGAAATGTGACTGGCGTACACTTGGGACTACTAACAATGATTGGCATTCTAAATATATACTTTGACCTTATAACACAGTCCCACTTAAAGAACACATAATCACCTTTTTAATGACCTCTCACCGAATAGAATAATTGTGATATTTGTGTTTGATGAGATATTCTCTGGGAAGGAACTTTCCAGGAATTGAGAATGAAACCCTCCCGAAAATAATTGCTGTGGCAAGGACACAGCTTTTCTGAATAATAAGTAAATTTTTAATTGAATAAGCATGTTTCAATTGTGTGTGTGTGTATGTATCCAGAAGCTGCATTGCAATAAATAACTGGATCATGGGGAAAAAAAGTTAAAATTAATTGAATTATTTATTAAAATAATTGCTTGTAAATAAAGTGCCCCCATTTGACTTTTTCTGCGTGTGCAAATACAAACCATTCATATGTAAACACTTCTTATGTTGGAAGAAAGACTCTGTTTCTTCCAACAGAAGCAAAAAGGAATAGTACTGTAGAGGAAATGGCAGGAAGGAAAGAAACATTTACAAAAAGAAATGAAGAAAGTGAAATGAGAGGAGGGAAACAAACCAATACAGAGATGAGGCTACAAGGAAGAAAAGACAAGAGAAAGGTTGTAAATAACTCAACAGAAGCCTTTATGCACGAATGCATGAGTTCTAGTAAATTTGAAATGCTTTATTCTCAGCCAAGTATGCCTAGCACCTGTCCTAGTTAGACATTATGCCTATTCTGTATGTGACCATTTCCTCCCATTTAAAGGAGAATAGTGTAAAACTCTACTGGTCCCAATGATCCCATTCTTGCCCTTCACATTTTGAGGTGAGCCTGCTGTGGAGAATGAGAGGAGGAAGAACTACTTATGTAACTCTTGCCTCACTGAGAGTAAGAACTGTATCAGTGTGTAACCGCCAAGGATCCTTTTTCCCCCTCTCCTGTCTCTGTTGAATTCAGTTTATGGTATTATTTGCAGATAGTTGCTTTATGTCTCTCCTACCACCTTTGTTTGTACAACAGTCCAAGTCTTTCCAACTTAAAAATAATAATTTGAAGAAAAAAATCTATCCTGCTTTTAAATGCAGTTATACAGTAATTGCAATAGATGAGATTATAACTGCTAAATGGTGCAAAGAAGATTGAAAATTGTAATAGGCTCTCTGTTTCAGAATCCTAAAATATGTATAATTGTATATTTAAAGTATATATTGATAATAAGCAGGTAACTCCATATTTTACAGGGGTATATATCAGCAAGACAACATACATTCGTCAAGGAGAACAATCTCTTGATGGATTCTATCGGGCATGGCACCAAGTGGACTATTACAGGTATAGCCATTTTAAAATGACTGAGTTACTTACCTCTCTTGCCTTCCTTCCAATGCAGTTTATGTATAAAGCTGCAAACCAAGATATACAGTGAATTCAAATGATTACCTGTACGTAAAAAGTCATGATGGTTTAGGTAACTGGAGCCATGTATTTTGTGACTAAAGTTTATAATTTTGCTTTTAGACATTCCTAAGGTATTTAAAAATTATTAGGAGAAAATTGTGTGGGGATTCCAAACTCTGAATCTTCTATGACTCTCAGGCTATGAATATACAGAGCTAGCTTAAAATATGCAAATTAAATCCTGAAATGAGCTAGTTTTGAATCATAATTGGATACCCTAGTTATTCTTCATTCTGATATCCCACTACTGGAATACTTCCAGTAACAAAACTGGATCATCATAGTTAATCAAATTCTGAGGACATGTTCTTTTGGTGCATGCTGTGATAAGATTCTTTGCATGGTTTCAGAGCTTTTTTCTGATTTCTAATGTTGGGAAAGATGTTTCTTCATTTTATTGTTATCTTTTAATACGTTTTTCTGAACAAACTCAAATTGGAAAAATGTTGAACAACTGTTTTAGGTACTTGAGATTTTTCCCAGATGGCCAAGTAATGATGCTAACAACTCCAGAAGAACCTCAGTCTATTGTTCCTCGATTACGGACTAAAAACACAAGGTATCTTCAACATTTGTAATAAAAAATTATATGGTCCATTGGATCCTGATAACTAGGTAAACAGTAAAGCTACTATCATTTTTCATTGCTTAGATGACTAAATTAAAGAATGCATTGATCAAGTGATTTGAAAATTACACTAAGTTATCTTTAATGAAAGAAAACCATGTTTGAATCTAAAGTTAATTATAATTTCAGTAAGCTCTTTGAATAATAGAGATTTAAGTTAATCATTTTTAATTTAAATCATATTTATTCTAGGACCTAATTTAATATCAGCAATGTTTTTAGTAGCACTTGAATGAATATATTTTCATGAAATGTTTTCCTTCTAAATCTCAGAACTGATGCAATCCTGCTTGGACATTATCGCCTTTCCCAGGATACAGACAATCAAACCAAAGTATTTGCTTTAATGACAAAGAAGAAAGAAGAGGTATTTATATAATGAAATATTAGATGGTCAACAGTAATCAACTGATTGATTAATAGAACAAGAAAGCAATAAATATTGTACTTTAGGATCATTTGTTAAATAAAAATATAACTTTGGAGTAGTTCTTTCTACAAAATACTCTCTCCAGATGTTCTTCTTAAACTCTGAATTTAAAGGAAACTACTTTTAGGTGTAATTTTTTTTTTTAAATTTGGAAGAGTTCAAAAACAAAATTCCTGAGGAAAGTACATCCAGAAGATAGTGAAATATAAGAATTCTGTATCCATCTTTAGACATTGTTTTATAATTTTAATTGCTCTGTTTCCTGCTGCCCTGAACCAACAAAGGCAAGCTATAGGTTTAAAGAGAAGACTGATTATTTGACAATATATATGGATTTTCTTTTTCCTAAATCTAGAGGCATAGAAGGTTGGAATTAAGGGCTAGAAGGTGAACAAGAAAAGATTGAAAGAAAATGTTGAAAGCTGAAGGGGAAATTGAAGGTTAGGAATAGTAGAAATTAATAAAAAGCCTTTCCCAGTTTTCTACCACTCAATAATTTTTATAGATTCTTAATATTTTCACTATCAACATTTAAAAGTCTAGTTTTAGAAGTAAGATACTTATATTATCTTTAACAGGTTATATTTTATATTATTCACTGTAGAAAAATACACTTTATTATAAACACACAATATGTTTTTTGTCTAAATGAAAATCAGCATTCATAGTATCATAGAAGATATATTTTTCTTCATCAATTTCTTCTAGGAGTCTATAAATGCTAATTTTCATTCAGACAATAAAAATGTTCTGGTGTTATAATTTCTCACAATAGGGTCATTGTGTTTTGAGTTTATACATTAACATAGAAGATTGCTGATTGGGGTTGATTTGTACCAGAATTTTTGAAGAAATGAAAATGTCTTTGAAATGTAACGTTTTATCTTTTAACTCTAGGGTACAGATTCAGTAGCTATCTTTTGCTGCATATTCTTGACAGCCTATTCCTTTCTTGTTTGTTATGTAGAAACCAATTGACTATCACAAGTTCAGATATTTCTGTCGTGTCCCTGTGCAAGAAACTGATCACAGTTTTCATCTAGGGTTACAGCTGAATTCCAGTGGCCGTCAGAAATTTAATAAACTCATTTGGATTCATCATTCTTGCCACATAACGTACAAGTAAGGTTTTTTTTTTTCAAATGTTATAAAAAACTTTAAAAGTCCTTGAAACCTAATCTTTCAGTCCTACCTAATAAAAGATACTTACTTACTTTCTTTTTTACAAGTTTTTTTATGCCCATTTACAAGACTTGGCAACAGAAGGAATCATATGGATGTCTACAGCCCATAATCATACCACTTATATAATAAGAAATGTCTGTATCACTACAGTTTAAACTAGGAGCCTGTAAGATTAGTTAATTTTGTAACATAAAAATAAATGCAAGTATCTGAAAGGTGAGATTTGCCCATATATCACATTGTTTCTAGTTGTTTTCATCCAACTGGCCAAACAAATATTGCCAGCAGAATAGAGTGATGGAGGAATTTGATGGTACATAAATGTGTAGGAAGAAGAAGGGGAAATTCCATTGAATGACTTAAAGTCCTTTTGTAATTAGATGGTGTCCATAACTTCCAGTTTGAAATGTTTGCTAGATACTTTGTCTCATAGATGAAGCAGAATACTGATTTTAATTTCTTAGGCAAATAAATCTAATTCAGTCAACAATATTGAACAAATCAGACGAGGGATATCAAACATCAAAAACATTTGCCAGACTATCTCATTTCTTTACATGAACAATTTGAAACTCTATAGAAAAACACCATCCAAAATTGAATTGCTACTTAACACTGGATGAAGACAATCATTACAAATATCTGGGCATCCTTCAAGTTGATAACTTCAAGCTTCACTGAAGTCAAGAAGAAGTGAAGAAGATCTGAAAATCTAAACTCAGTGAAGGAGACACCATCAAGGCACGTGGGCAATTCCAGTCACTAGAGCAGAACTAAAATGCTGGGTTAATTCTGGCTGCACAAGACCAAGCCTTAAAAACAAATGCATGCAAAACCAGAATTGAGAAAGAAGCTAATGCCCTCTCTGCAAAAAAGCTGAAGAAAAAGTGGACTACCTAATTGTTGCAAGAATGTTGTACACACCAATTATAAACAGCATGTCAAAGTAGCAACAATAGTGCATTGCAATATCTGCAAAAATATCATTTGCCTGCAAGCAAGAACTGGTGGGACCGTACAATAGACAAAGTAATAAAATATGAAGAAGGTAAAGTGCTCTCGGACTTTAAGATTCAAACAGACAGATACATGCTGCATAAAATCCCAGACTTAACAATTGTCGGTAACAAAGACAAAAAAATCTGGATATTGGATGCTGTGGCCAAAGAAAAAATAATGTCAATAGTAATAGATGTCTTGGGTGCAGTTGCAAACATTACAAAAGGCAGCTTTATTTGGAACAGCTTATGTCCTGCAACAATATCTTTATCACTATCAAACAACAACCTCTGCCTATCCCAGTTCCTTGGGAAGGACTTGATAGATAGATTAAAATATCAAATCCAGAATAAACGTGCTGACTGTATGACCAACCGTAATAATAAATATATGTTGTGCCCAACTCTCAGTGACTCTAGTTTATAAATTGTTAAAACATTTAAAACAAGAAAAAAAAAACAAAAAATGAATAAAGATAACAAAAATGACAAAATGTGATGAGAACAGTGGATAAAGGGGGCTTCAGTTACCCTTGTCAAAGGCCTGGGTGAAAACCACTTCGGGTTCCTTTGAAACACTAAAATGGGAGCCATTCAGATTTCAGGGAAAACATCATTCCAGAGAGCTGGAGCTGCTACAGAGAAGGTGGGCTTCTGAGATCTTGATAGTTGACATTGTTTAATTGAACCTGGAGTATGCCTACCCTGCCAGATCAGATAAACAGATACTAAATTAAACAAATTAGTATGATATTCTTGTTGAATTATTTTGAAGTATTTTAATAATTTGCAGATTATTCTACTAATCATTGGCATCAGAAAGTGGCATTCATGTCTCAAAGTCTCTTCTAACCATGAAAATTCCTATACAACCTTTTTTTTTTTTTTTTGCAGTATAGCTATATATTTCATGTATTATTTTGGAACCGTGCGGTTTTGTTTTTTTTCTCAATAAAGCCTTAAGATCTGCAAACATTGGGGTCAAATTCCAATTTCCATAGCCATATATGTAAAAGTGCTCTGGTTTCAAGTAAAAAATCTTCTTACATAGGATGCAAAGAGAATAGGTACAAGTTATATTATTCAAGGCAGTTCTTTTCCTTTTAGGCAAGGAATAAGTCAGGTTTATCACTTTTTTCTTTTTTTTAGGTCTACTGGTGAGACAGCAGTCTCTTCTTTTGACATTGACAAGATGTACACCCCTTTGTTCTTTGCACGAGTGAAGAGCTTTACTGCAGTTTCAGAACGGCCTCTCTGAGAAGCTCATGTTTCTTGCATGAAAGAAATTACAGCAAACAACACTTAAGTTATAAATGTGAGTGTGTCTGTGTGTGTGCGTGTGTGTATGGATGGATGTGTGTTTGTGTGTGTGTGTGTGTATACAGACGTGAACACAGACATTATATATATATATATATATGAATTTTATTTTAAAATTGGGAGATCTTTTTGGAAGAATATATACTGGAAATACATTTGATTTAGGGTGGCAGGGTTATCTTTCTGGTTTTGATGTCAAATTTACATTTTATTTTAAAATTGTTTATGTTGTGAAAAGACTTTGTAAGATACAAGGCATTTTTTGCCATCTCATTTTATGAGCAAAATTTATAAGCTGTTCTCTTTACAAAGTAAGGCTTCATCTGCCTATGCACCTTAAGTTCAGGAATTGTTATAAACATACTGCTGTACATAAAACATTGTGTGTGTGCTTGGGGAAGGCTCAAAATGTGAAGAATTTGTCCTGCATCTGTGCGTGGCCTATAAATGTATAATAGAAATTCATGTATTGGGATTACCTTTCAGGAAGAGATGCTGATTTCAGTATAAATTACAGCTTTATGAGAAAAAAAAAGGGGGAAAGGAGAAGGTGAAAGTTCAGCTTCAGATATCAACATCTTTTTTTTTTAAAGAATTACTTGGTTTTAAATAATCATAATAGTCACTTCAGAAGTTACTAGGTTTTGAGTTGATGATCACAGGACAGCCACATTGCTGCATTGATTGCGTTTGTCTTCTAGATCCAGGAAGTGAACACTAAAGTGTATCATCTGAATTCTCTTATGCAAACAAACAGGGCTGCATTTTGTATTGTTTTGTTTTTAGCTCATCTGCTAACTGCTAAAAATGCTGTACACCTCTTGGGTGTTTTGTAACATTTAACCTTTTCTTTTGGGATGCCTACAGATGTTCAGGTACTGTGTGCTGCTTCTCCTGTGTATGTAATTTGGGAATTGGATGCGACTGCTGTATTTCACCTATCATAAATATGTATTTACTCATACAACTCACTGTTCTAAATGTTTTCCTTTTACCAAGTTGTGTTTTTTTATTTTATTGGGAGGGGGGCATATGGATGAAATAAAGGTTACTTTGTTTGAAGTACCAAAATCTCTTTTGTTTGCCATACTGAGTGCCAGTTACCAGCCAGCCTGCGGAAAAATCAGCCAAAGGCCATAATGAAAGTAATAAAGACTGCAGGACCAATAAGCCGTTTGCACTGAATGCCATCAGTCCCTAAGGCAGCGGTTCTCAACCTGTGGGTCGCGACCCCATTTGGGGTCGAACGACCATTTTACGGGGGTCGCCAAACAACATGATCCGCCATTTTTTTGTCAGCCGGCGCAGGGGGTGGTGCCATGCATGCGCGTGGCGCAGGGGGGCACCACTGCGCATGCGCACGGTGCAGGGGGCAGCGCCATGCATGTGCTCCACGCAGGGTGGTGCATGGTGGCGCGCGCATGCGTGCCGCGCAGGGGGTGCCGCCGCGCCTGCGCGCTGCCTGCTTATGTCCGGGGTTGCCGTATAAAAAGGTTGAGAACCACTGCCCTAAGGGAACTAACTTGTTAGGAAGATTGGGGAAGAAGCCTGGTGAGTTGAACAGATATAGGGCTAAGGGGAATAAGGCGGTGAGAGAATTAGCAGGTACATGTGCCATGTAGAGGAAGAGGGTAAGGCACGCTAGCCATGGCCTCCTCAGTTTCTAAGATTTCTCTAGGTTTTGTCTTGGCTGAAATCCAGACCAACCAAACGGATGGCATATTTTGATTCAGCCGAATTATTATTTGTCAAACTCGGTCGCATCATGTGACGTATCGTGACGTATCACAATATTTTTTGCCTTTGCGGAATCAGATAGGTGTGGCCCTAACATGCATTTGGCCCGCGGGCTGCCAGTTTGATACCCCTGCTCTAAAGGGTTCAACTGAATCACCATCCCTCAGTGTGTTTGTTTTGTGTGCGGCACAAATAACACTTTCTGTATACTTCTACTTAAAAATGCACATCTACAGACATTTTTACAAAACAAAGCAACATTTTAGCCTATGGATCTCGATATGGCCTATGGATGCACAATAGGTAACAATTCTATCTGTAATTAATATACCCAATATATACATTAGCTATTTGGTAATTGCTTGAAAAAGAAAGCACAAGAAACGACAGCCAATCAGTTTTTAAAATTCCCAATAACAAAAAATTACCTATTGTATAAAAAGTATGTCATAGGACATTGGCACATTGAATAACTGAAATAAAGTTCACTGTTTGAATACTTGAAATAGCTACTATTAGCTTGGAATATTTTCCTTTATTTTGTGCATTCCTACTGTCACTTTCAAAGAGAACTGACAAGCTTCATATTTAGGCTGTTTCACCTTATACAGCTATCGCCATCAAGGTTTGTTTTTTTAAAACAATCTAGGCAGTTGCAACTTACACCATCATTTCTGACCTAGTTTCTGTATCAATGGAAAATAGTTCCTGACTATTTTTTTGTTGTGTTGTACCTTTTAAAGCCTTTTTTGGCAACTGGAACTGTTGGATGAGGTCTTAGAGACTGATAAAAAAATATCTAAAGGCAAAACGTGTAGCCTGGTAAATATGAAGACCATTTTGAGACGAAGCACTGCCAACTTGCACGCACGTAGTGCAGGTCACACCTAAATGTATCTCACAAAAGATTTAGCCATCTCCAGTGACTTTTTTGATTAAGATACAATACATCGATCAATGCATCAGTTTGTATTCAGAGTACAAAGTTCTCATGATCGGCACGTGGGCTTGTGCCACTGATCATTTTAGGTCAGTGTATTTGCTTTCCCCTATCTTCTGAATCTCCTACTGTTCCAAGATTGACAGTTGACCAAATGATCAAATTGGGAGGGAAAAGGACAAAGACTGAAAAGAGTGGTAGGGCTGGAAATGCCTGCTCCTAAATGAAGTGAGTGACCCTGACTCTTAGAGGTCTGGGATGAAGGAGCCCTGATTTTTGCCACTGCTATCGGATGACCCTACAGGATAATAAAAACAATAAGCTGGTAAGTTTTGGACCTTTTTTATTGCAAAATAAAAAAAATACAGAATAATCATGAAAAATTATTCAGCAACAAAACTGACACTCTATCAGAATGACATTTTTACAAGTGAAAATAATGTTTTTGTATGCTTCACTGCTACATGTTACCAGAACTATTTATTAATATGAAGTATTTCTTAAAATCATGTTTGTATAGCTATCTCACTGATGACAAAATAATGTGTTTTGAAATAAAATATCTGGGGGAAAAATAATGCCTCATTGGAATGTGTTCTGGAAAATGGAACCATAGGGCTCTTAGCAGCACTCTGATTAAGTTTCTGTTATATCAAATGGTTTGTTCTTGAAAATTTCAGGTCAATTTTTACTGCTACAGCTCCAGTTCTTTGTTTTTTTAAAATAAGTGTAATTAAAATCAGTCTTGTTTGTGGCCCAACAGATAGGACTTTATTTAACTGTAGAATAAGAATAGAGTAGAATTAGAATTAGAATTAGAATAGAATAGAATAGAATAGAATAGAATAGAATAGAATAGAATAGAATAGAATAGAATAGAATAGAATAGAACTTTGGAGGTCTTCTAGTCCAACCCCCTGCTCAAGCAGGAGAACCTGTACCATCTCAGACAAGTGACTCTCTAGTCCAGTGTTTCTCAACCTTGACAATTTTAAGGCATGTGGACTTCAACTCCCAGAATTCCACAGCCAGCATTGCTGGCTGTGGAATTCTGGGAGTTGAAGTCCACATGCCTTAAAATTGTCAAGGTTGAGAAACACTGCTCTAGTCTATTCTTAAAAACCTCCAGTGATGGAGCGCCCACAATTTCTGAAGGCCAGCTGTTCCACTGGTTAATTGTCCTCACTGTAATGAAGTTTCTCCTTAATTCCAGGTTGCTTCTCTCTTTGATCAGTTTCCAACCATTGTTTCTTGCCCTTCCCTCTGGTGCTTTAGAGAATAATTTGACCCCCTTTTCTTTGTGGCAGCCTCTCAAATACTGGAATACTGCTATCATGTCACCCCTATTTCTTCTTTTCTTTAGACTAGCCAAACCCTGTAATGAAGAGTTTCAGGCTCCATGATCCCTCAAGTGGGCCTCCTGCTAATTTTAGATCTTTAGAGGTATTTCCTAATCTACCTTCATCTGCTTCACATTTGATCTTAGGACATACTAATATGACTTAGCACTGGCCAAATTTGGCAGATGATAGTTGCTTGCAGGGGGCCTTTGTAGCAAAGATAATTAGATTCAAGTATGACTAATCACCTTTTTATGTGTGCACAATACTTATGACACATGCTAAAAGGGGACAGAGCTTTAATAATGTCAGGCCCAGTCCAAAAAAGATGTAGAACAATCTTGGCAAAATTTGGTTATTTGCTCACACAAAGAGATAGAATCTTGCCAGCCTAAATCCTTACTACTCTCATCCTAACGGATATACCCTAGGACAGGGGTAGGCAACCTCGGCTCTTTTATGACTCATGGACTTCAACTCCCAGAATTCCTGAGCCAGCATAGCTGACTTAGGAATTCTGGGAGTTGAAGTCCATAAGTCATAAAAGAGCCGAGGTTGCCCACCCCTGCCCTAGGACATTCTAGGGAGTAGCTATCCTGACTTTCTTCCTCTGGCTCCTATCCAGCTCTGGGATGTGTTGTCTTTTGTCTCATCCCCCTCCTTGGATGTGTTCCCTCCTTGCTGGGAAACTGCCACTTTACTACAATCCATCACTTCCCCCTTTGTCAGCACCATCCATTACATCTGGTCTGGTTGCAGCTGCAGATACCTGCTCATCTGCTACACCTCTTTTATAAATGTGTTGGCTTAAAGTCTTAAAGCCTTTAGTAACAGAACTGAAAACACTGAAAAAACAGTGGAATAAAAGTTTTGAATAACCCTAAGAAAATTAAGTATAATTTTTCAAAGGAAAAAAAAACAGATTAGTTCACTCACTAAGGCTGCAAAGTCGAAATGTTTATGATATAGCAAGAAAGCATGGCCAGTCCAAAATACTTTCCTCTAGACCACCAGTGGGCAGAACAGATCATCGGCCTACTTGTGCTACTACATTGGGCATATGGGCAATGAGGCTAAGGAGGAGTGCCACCCTAACTGTTTAAAGGTGGGACATTTTAAGGAAAGGCTTTGAGCATCACCCTTAACTGTTCTCTTTAGTGTCTGGCAGGGCAGGGAAGGGTAAGGTAGATGAGGGGCATGCAACAGTTGTTTAGTGCCTTATGCAGTTATCAGTGCCTTATGCAGGTAGCTGTGCTATCTCACAGCTGCTTGGCTCCTGTTACTTGTTAGCTGCCCTATTTATAAACATGGGTCTAGCAGTCTCCTTCTGAAAGAGTGTTAAACCTTGAGCAAAAGATTTCCAGATCACAGGAAGGACATGAGATTAAGTGGCTTTGAGGTCTATGTCTCTTTCTTTCTTTCTTTCTTTCTTTCTTTCTTTCTTTCTTTCTTTCTTTCTTTCTTTCTTTCTTTCTTTCTTTCTTTCTTTCTTTCTTTCTTTCTTTCTTTCTTTCTTTCTTTCTTTCTTTCTCTTATCAGCCCCCAGCCCATTACAAATAAGGATATATAGCTGGATGTCACAATAAAATAGATTACAGAGCTGATTTGTAATAAATATTATACATTGCCAGTAGATGGCAGTCTATGATTTAGAGACACCTAATATAACTGCTCAGCAGCATTCCTTGGTCAGCTTGATGCCTTGGAACAGAACCCAGAATAACAAGGTTGGAAGGGAGCTTGGAGGTCTTCTAGTCCAACCCTCTGCTCAGGCAGGAGATCCTATACCATTCCAGACAAATAGCTGTCCAATCTCGTCTTTAAAACTTCCTGTGTTGAAGCATTTGCAGCTTTTGGAGGCAAGCTGTTCCACTGATCGATTGTGCTGTCACAATCGATCAGTGGTTTTAAAGTTGCTTCTCTCCTTGATTACTGTAGTTTCCATTCTCGTCCTGCCTTCTGGTGCTTTGGAGAATAGGTTGTCCCCCTCTTCTCTGTGGCAGCCTCTCAAACATTGGAACACTGCTATCATGTCACCCTTAGTCCTT